AGTTGTCACATGTGTGCGTGGCGCTTTGAGAACGCATTTAATTGCACAAAGCCTCTTTGCTCTTAGAGAGTTTTTAAATAATTTAGTTGTGTCGTTAGGCCGTTGGGGGCGTGGCCCCACCCCATTGTCAAAGGCAGCTGGCAGGACAAGTCGGGCGTTCGGGGCGGCTACGTAATGCAGTCGAGTCACGTCACACAGCATGTCGCTAATTTTTCTACCTTTTTTTTCGTTGCCTTGCTGCTCGGGCACAAAGTTTCCTTCACTGCAATGCGCCGGTTAAAATTTTCCCTTTTTCTTCTAAAGGGGGGGGCCTCTAAAAAGAGGGGGTATTTCTGGAGGATGATAAATTGTGGATAAGGGTAAGGCGGGATTAACTCGAGGTGGCTGCGCATTTTAAAAGCTTATATTTTCTTTCAAATTTTAAAGGGGCTTAGGGTATAAAAATAAATATGTTAAACATATTCGTTTGAAAAGGGTTTTTTAAAGGAAAGAAATATAGCAAACTTTAGAATATTCGTTAAAGTATTTCTTCCACAAAATTTAAAAAAAAAAATTTTTATAGGATATCTCCTTTTCGAATATAATTTTTAACTTTCCCTTGACCTCACTCTCCTCACAACTTCAAATTTAGCTTTGTGCGCTTAAAAATCCCCAAAATGGCTTTTGTCAAAGGCGAGAGAGGTACAGTCACCACCTAGCGCGGTGAGCACGAGCATAACGGTATAACGGTAAAGCGCTAAGAAGTGCAGCATAGCGCACGGCGCACGTTTCCTTTTTGTAAACTTTATTATTTCGTGTTAAAAGTAAATAAACTTAGCTCCCAACTTCACCACCTCACCTCTGGCCGCCCTTTGCCATGCCATCTCCTTCTATTTCTCCCCTGTAGATATGTGAAATGGGGAGTTTCTGGGTGGCGGGCACCTTCTACTGCACATTGTTTGCCATTTGCGGTGGTCGGCGACAAGCTCTGTCAGCCAGCCAGTCCAAATTGAAATTGGACATTAGATGTGAGCACACACACAAACAAACACTTGCACTGAGAACAGTTACAACAGAAAATTTTGATTATATTCCAGCTTTTATTTGAGGCACTCCAGTATCAGTCTCTAAATAGTATTTTTAAAGATACGTCATCCGATTTGTTGTTTTGTAGATGACACCATAAGCCGGACGCTACGATTTTGTTATGGAATAGCCTGCGGTTAGAAATCCAAATCAATATTTTGGTTGATTAATGAATTCCCAAAAGACTACGACCTGCGTATATAAAAACGAGTTGCGGTTCTTTGACGTCTTCTTTTGGTGGATAGAGTTCTTCTTGTATCTTCCGATCTTTTACGACGCACAGCAAAATCAGATGTATGACGTATTTGTTACATATCTACTCTCAACGTGTATTCGCAGTCGGGAATGTCCGCCGTTTTTTTTAGGGATCAGAAGACGAATACGCTTATATTGTTCCACTGATCCTATAAAATCAAGGGCGGACATTCCCGACTGCGACTACATGGACAAAATGGGTATATTAAGAGTCCCGAGTGCTTCTATAAATTCCGAAACCGTCTTCACAGAGAACAAATCTCGACTGACGCATAATTTTACGCTCCCAAAATTATATAGACGTTTTTGGGACTGCAACTAAAGATTCATGGGGAAGACTAAATCCTCAGAGAGCGTAATCAGCAGCATTGGGACTTTATTCTCTTCTAATTATTTTCTTGAATAAATGTATTATCTATAATTTTAGAGAAAAATAAATTTTAAGAACCACTTTACATCTCAGCGCCTACTTAGGGCACTTATCTCGATTGTCTCCCCTATTTTGCCCCTGTAATCTATAAAAGCAACACTTGCGGTTAAATAGGTCCACTAGTGCTCAGTTTTCTATGGCTGATAAGAAAACGTGTCGAAAAAATATTGAGCACAGTTTTTTAGACTTGAATTTTAAGGCGGTGTATCAAAAGATATTTATATCGAGAGACATAAATATGATTAATGTGAGGAATATAAATAATTTTAAATTAATTTTAAGTGGTCATATATAGTTAAGTTTGTCTCTATGGAATTCTATTTTTGTCGAAGGGTAGAAAATGACGTATGACTAGATTACATTTTTTAATATATGATCATATAAATGGATGTTAGTATGTTACGGATACTATCTTCTGGATGATTATGGATCTGATCAGGTTATGATAATGAATTTGTTTTATTTTTTTGAGTGCACACATATATATTTAGATGGCACATTCTGTCGTCGCCGCGACTGCTGACAACTTGAACAACAACCACATCTAGTACAACAACGCGAACAACAACTGAACACTAAGGCACAGCACACACTCATTGTGAATGACAACGCCCCTGGTACGTGATTTCATTTCCGTTGTTGCCTTTTGTGCATTGCTCGTAACTTGACTCCTCCTTTCTTTTTTTTATCACCCCAGTGGCTTCGCATTCACACGCCACCCCTAACCACCTTCTTCTGCTTTCTTTGGCAGCTTTTTTATCTGTGGTTTAATAAGGCAGCCGTGGATAGCCCGAAATTAATATGATAGTGCGTAAAAAACAAAGTGTGAGTATCTATTAGTCGGCTATACTCATCTATTATGTTTCGCTGAATGGAAAAGAAAATGAAAAGCCAATTAGTTTTATGAATCACTTAGCTCTGGGCCAAAAAGCGAGGGAGGAATTCTAAGTATAAAGTATAGGTATATAATACATTTAAGATAAATATAAATAAATATATACAGCTTCTCATAAAAGAATTCCGCATTTTAAAGGTTATCAGTTCTATGAGAACTATTGAGTACAACTTTGTACGTATGACACTATTAGCTGTACCAGGCACGGAAATTTGTATTACATTTCCTGTGCTAGGAAAATGTTGAATTATTTGTTATAATCTTTTACGATTCCCTCACTGTGCAATATGGTTAAAATAGTCATCCCATTTGTTGTTTGTTTATGCGAGCTGCGGGGAATAAATATTAAATTTCCTGAGTTAGGAAAATTATACGAATATTTGAATAGCTGGCTGGCCGAATTCATACCACAATCGATTTTAATTAATTGTATTCATTCAAAAGCTTATCTAAAAAAGAGCAAAACAAAATTAGCTCTTAACCGGTTATATTGCCCATTGAATTGTGGGAGCAAATCGGCATTAATATAATTCCAATTTATTCAAGCTCCCAACATATTTTAGCCACAAACTAATGGATCTCCCATATAATACTTCATATTTTCAAACTCAAAAGATCAGCCATTATTTAAGGAGATCTTCGCTTCCGACAACCAAAGGTTATTTGTGGGCAGAACTCGGTAAATCTGATTAACACAAAGACTGCCACTGGCGTATCGGAAAACCGGCTAATATTCAGATATGTAAATTGAATTAATAATTCATATGATCGACCTTTACATGGCTATTTAACAAGTCTATCTTAATGGCGGGAAACGAAACAGAGAAATCCCCGAAATTATGGTTTACATACGCCAGAAAATAGTCTACGCAAGCAGAGTCAAGGGAATACTTTTCGAGTATTTACTTTTGTTTTGGTACCAAAACGAGTTATGATGGTTTCTAGTCAGTCATCAAAAGCGTGTGGATGGGCATCTGAGTGAATAAACAATGGTTTAATTGGGATTCGCCTATAGCAACATCTGCTGAAATGCAGACCCGTAAAAGCGGGCCAAGTAAAAACAATAACGGAAGCCATTTGCCATGCAAATGCTAGGCAAACTCCAAGCTGACTAGCTAACTAGCTGGCATGTCTAACGCGATCGGCATTTACATACATGAAATATAAACAAATGCAGAAAAAGATTCGGCAGTCCAAACTAAACTCTGAAAATTAACAACAAGTTTTTAAGTGTTTGACTAGATGCGGGCCATGAATAAATGTGATTAACGAGTTTGCACTTGAAGTCTAAGCCAACACCCCGAGATAAATCCACCAACCAGTGGTCATAAGTCATAAAGCAAATTAAAGATGACAGTATATCTAAATTAAATTATTAACAAGTTGCAATTCAGCAGGGAGAAATAACCATCCATGTGAAGAGGAGGGGAATAATGGCAGCAGGTATCAAGATGAAGAGGAAATAATTTAAGCCGCCGCCGAGCAATGAAGCATTCATAATTATAAACGAAATTAAGGTCCAAACAATTAAGCGAGGTGTGGATCATATAATTATGGTCGCTTTGAATCTTTTCCTGAGAAACATGCGTCGAAACATTAAACCATAAATAGCGGGACCTTGAAATCAACTAGTGGAATCCATAATTTTAGACTCAGACCGTAGCTAGACCCATTTTTATGGCCATAATCGTGGTTAACTGGTTTAGGGAAATTAATTGGCCACCAAGGGTTCGTTAGATAACGAAATTATGGACCTAAGAAAAAAGACACTGTTTGTTTTTGGCAACTTACAGTTTGGATTAGCATAAGGTTAGTTAGTGGGCGCCTCACTCGAGACAAAAGATTCCATTAAGAGCTCTGCAAAGCTGCTGAATAATTTGTAGATTCTTTTAAATCCAGAACAATGGCTTCTAACCTTTGTCGAACTAGTCGTAAAACCCAACCAGTTTCAGCGTCGTCTGCATTCGTTTCAAACGATTATTGCAAATTTCCGGCTACACCTGACGCATGTGCCAAAAATAATGCCCAATAAAATACCCAGATGAGCCCATAAAATATGCCGTTAGCAGTCTGCAGCGGATTAATGTCATCTAAAAGTCACTATGGGTGTTAGAACCACACACCCATCCATATATCTTTATCCATCTTAATCTTCGCTCCTTAAATCCAATTCCATCGAGTGCTACTTGATTCTAGCGACGACCCCCAAAAACAAAACCAGTAAAAAATATCTCATCTGCCACGAGATATTCATCTGAATATTCAGATGAGCCGTTGAGACGATGATCTTCGATCGGCCAGAGGTTCAGTTCAAGTTTTTCGGCTTGCAGAATTTTGGGCTCGGTCTCGTATAAATAGTTTGCCGCTGAGCCTCTTCAGACAGAAGCTAATCGAACGCTCTTGGAGTAACAGATCGCAGCTGTCATCATGGTGAGCTCACCCACCTGACTGGAGGATCAAGGATTATATCACTAAATGTTTTTCTTTTCGTTTCTGTAGAAATTCCTGGTTATTGCCTTTGCCGTTGTGGCCTGCGCCTATGGCGATGTCTCCCACTTGGGCTACGACTACTCGCCGCCGGCACCTGCCCCAGTCTACTCTGCCCCAGCTCCGGCTCCGGTCTACCAGCCTGCTCCTGCCCCTGCTCCAGTTGTGATCCCTGCTCCTGCCCCAGCTCCAGTGGTGATCCCTGCTCCCGCCCCCGTGAGGAGCTACGTCCCACCTGCACCCATCAGCATCCCAGCTCCGGCTCCAGTGTACTCTGCTCCTGCACCGGCTCCAGTTTACTCTGCCCCAGCTCCTGCTCCCATCAGCATCCCTGCCCCAGCTCCGGTCTACCACCCAGCCCCAGCTCCCATTAGCATCCCAGCTCCGGCACCAGTGAACACCTACATCCCACCTGCACCCGCACCAGCTCCGGTCTACCAGCCAGCCCCTGCTCCCATTCCCGTGAGCATTCCGGCTCCAGCTCCCGTCTACCAGCCTGCTCCTGCTCCCGTGGTGATCCCTGCTCCTGCCCCTGCTCCAGTTGTGATCCCAGCTCCCGCTCCCATCAGCATCCCTGCTCCTGCTCCCGTGAGGACCTATGTGCCACCTGCACCAATCAGCATCCCAGCTCCCGCTCCAGTTTACTCTGCTCCCGCTCCTGCTCCAGTTTACTCTGCTCCTGCCCCAGCTCCAGTTTACTCTGCTCCTGCCCCAGCTCCAGTTTACTCTGCCCCTGCCCCAGCTCCAGTCTACTCTGCTCCCGCTCCCGTCTACCAGCCAACCAACACCCAGGTTCTGGAGGAGATCGAGCCCGCATCCAACGATGGCTACCGCTACAAGACCGTGCGTCGTCGCGTCTACCGCCACCGCGTCTAAACTCAAACCAAAGCCCAACGAAAAACCGTTTCCTAACGAATCCCCAAAGGGGAGACGTAATAAAAAATTTCCGCCTTCAATTTGTTAAACAAAAAGAAAAGTCTTCAAATTGTTTTCCAATCATAGCAAATCACACGGGCAACTTGGGGAAGGGGAGCTCTTAAGTTTGCTCTGGCCATTTGAGTGGGAAATTTATGAAACCCCAAGTAGAATCAACTTGCCATCGGACAGATAGTTTGGGAAAGGGGTGAGTGGGTGGGCAAGTAGATGGAGGATAATAAGGAGTTGCAAGCAAGTTGCGGAACACTCCCCAAGGATTCGATGCGATGGAACGTCCACAGTCCTTGCCACTCCACATTTATCACGAAATTTATGGCCTGGAATGAGCTTTGATGATGTGGAAATTTTTTCTCGTTAGATTCAAAAGTTTCCCGATGCACTCGGAGATCCGAGAATTTATTCAAGACAAACGATAGAGTTTTATTTATAATGCTTTGCGGAAATTAAAATAAATTGAGTCAAAATTAGGTGTTTTTAAAGATCAAGGATTAGAGAATTTATGTTTGACTAAAAAAAAAATATTTTTGGAAAATTAGAATAATTAAAATAATCTATGTTATTCAAATTTTTATTTAATTGTTATTTAAACAATATCTTTTATAAAAATTAAATAATAGGACGATGGCTTGTCAACCTCTTTGAATTCAAGTTTTCAAATCTTAATTTCCCAATTTCAACTACACTTATCTTAATTATTATTTGACTTATCGGTGATTTGGGCTATTATTTTTGCCGGTGCACCCACACGAAATCGATGAGGCTGGCGCTTCAGCTCAAAACAGAGACGGAGCCGAGTGGATTGGCATCATCAGACGACCACTGACCACTTGTGGCTGCTAACAAGTGGCAGAGGATGAAATCGAAGAACAAGGACGCTGCAGAAAATTAACAAGAAAATGCAGCGACAAATGTCTACGGAGGAGCCTTTTCCCTTTTCCCCTTAGCAATTTGATTAGGGAAATGTCTGGCTGTGGCAGAGGGACTCGGGGGCCCCAAGCCCCCGGGAATACCCCCAACATCCCAGTCTGGATGGCTAGAAAACCGCAGAGCCACATATTACACTTGCCACTGCGCATACTAATTAAAAAGCACAAAAACAAACGGCGAAGCTGCTAAAATTAATTGCGTAATTAAAACAAAATCATTTTTTTGCTTCCACCCTGCCTTCATCCCTTTTTTGGGCCCAAACCACAATAGATTGATTGTCCTGGCTTATTTCGTTAATTGCATTCTGGTCAAATATTGGCAGCTCAATTAAATGAATTAAAACACATTTTTGCTTTGTCCGGTGGCTGGTGACTAGCACACCGGTGCATAGAAAAGGATCCCTTATGGGAAGTGCAGAAATGGGGATTACTAAAATCATTTGACAGGCAATTACAATTTAGAGACGATTCGGGCAGACCGCATTCCAATCAGCGGTGATTAGTTTGTGTGGTGTGGAAATTAAATAATCGAATTTTTTCCTAATTTGTGGCAAGGGTTTTCTTTATTAAATTTAGGTTTTCATAAGTAATACTTAAAAATATTTTAAAAATATTTTATTTTAAATACATTGGAAGTTATTGTGTTAAAACGAATTATGGACTCTTAAAGATAAATTTAGCGGAAACCTTAAAAAATAATATAATTATTTAAATGAGTTTGGAAATATCTTTTGAATATGTTTCAATACCAAAGCAACTAATTCAAAGAATATTTTACTTGTATCGTTCTTTGATAATTTTAATACCCAAGCACCTAATTCCATAGTAATTGATTGATAGAATTTCATCTCAGTCCTATATTCACTGCACAATAATGCCCAACCCACATTGTGAAATTGTCGCATTTCACTAATCCCCGCCAGCGATTAGTTTAAATTCCAAATAGTAACTGCATTGTGCCGTGTGGATTGGGTAATTTTCAGCCTCATTGCACTTTGGTCTGCCATGCAGAAGGGCTGGCGATTAAATAAAAAGGCGCCAGGTATGGCGGACGCCCAACAATTGACAGTTGGTTGCACTTCCAACCGCACTTAATTAGCAGTTAATGATGCCTGATTAACACGCATTATGGCTGCGACGACCCAGCGGCATCTCCGCAAGCCAGCCCAATGCCACCCAAAATAACCGAACCCCGACCCCAGCACATTTCCATATCCATATCCACGGCCATTTCCAATCCAACCTGTACGACAGATGGTCGGGAAATGTGTAATCAATGCTTTAGGCGCCGTGGATTACAAAATCGCGAGGCCAAAAAGTATGCAGAAGATAAAGCTCCAACGTAAAAAGTGAAAATGCTGTGGCAAAAAACCAAAAATGTCATTTGTAGCTGGAACTCGAATAGCCGATGACCCCTAATTAGAAAAAAATTCCAAATTAAATGTGAGAAATACGTAGCTATTTTTACATATATGTTAATAAAGTATTGTTTTAAATATTTTTAGCTATTTAATATATAATTGTAAATAATTGTCTTTTCTAATTTATGCAAAATAAATTATAGAGACAAAACCAAACATAAAAACTTAGAAATAGTTGAATTTTGTTGTTAAACATGTTATACTTTAAGAATATTTTACAAATTTTTTTTGTTTGTTAAGTGAAAGGAATAATATTTATGATTTAAAGAAAAAATAAATTTTTTTTTCTTCCCGATTCATTTTAACATTTTTTAAAGATGATTGGAAATTGTGCATTTTCACAATAACCCCGAATACGAGCTATACCGATTTATATACCCCGGCTCACTCAATAAATCGGGTGTAAAAATTGATGGGTCTCTCGAACTCTCGAACGGCGGAATCCCAGTTGTTGGTCGGCTGGCTTACGGCTTTAAAGCCGCCAGTGCGAAATCGAACGTGCGGAGTGCACATGGATATGGGACATGGATCGTTGGGAAATTGACAGTATCAACGTAATTATATCAGCAGTTGGGTAGGAAAGGGGGGTTTACCCAAAACGAAAAACAAAACAGAAAAGCGACAAAATCCAGGAAAAACAGAACGGGGGAGAGGAGCAGCCACTGAAATATGCAAACGTTGACTGCCTTCATTTATTTTTACTGTTACTGCATATTGGGGCGACGAATCGAGGGGGAAAAGCTGGACTGGGATGGAGGGTCCTGGGCAAGAGGCGCGAAAATAATCGTTATCCTGGACAGGTGGGCACTCGATTCCGCTCGCTTTCGATGCCAGCAGTTGCACTTCATTTGCAGCATTAATTTGTCGCCCGTTGATTTATCTGGCCAAGCTATATATATCCATACACACACATTTATAAAGATATATACCAACGCGTCGAATGAATTTATGAGCTGCTGCTGGGGCCCATCGAACGTCGAAAAATGTTGAAAATCGATTGTCGGGAGTTTGTCATTTCCACTTGAAGCGTTCGGCAAGTCAATGACTGGGGCAGTTGCATTTATTTCGGAATATTTATTAAATCACTTTTTGCACCAGCAATGCAAAATAGTTATGCAAATATTGTATGCGAATGAATGAGAAAGGAATCTAGGCGTTATCTTTGCTTAAATCGAAGCGCGTGTTTCCATAATATTGACTAAAACATAAACAAAAACATGTATATAAGTCATTGGCTGGACCCAGACGAAGATCTGCGGTCTCTGAGGTTCGTTGAACCCCTGCTAATATTATAAATGAGATAGTAAGTTATGGCACTAAATAAGAGAAAGGCAACTAAAAACAGAAATATTTTATTTAAGCAACTAAAACTTTAATATATGTCAATTTCTAGAAAAAAAGCAAAATATGGACGGGATTTCTAAGAGCCTTAAAACCTTTATTCAAATAAAAATAGATAATAAATTTTCCTATGGCAAAACAATACTATATTTTCGCCCCTATTTTGTTGATTTTTCCAAGCACTTCAAGGGTAACGAACTATATATTTTCCTTTTGCCCTCGGATGACGCCACCATGCACGGCATGTCAACTATTAACGGGCAAACAACTAAATTACGTATACGCAGCGTTGCATGACCAGCATGCCATTGCGGCCATACGTACATATAGGGATATGTATATGCGATGCTCCGTTAGAGAGTTTGTTTGTGTATTTGCTCGAAATACATTTGCAGTTTCGGTTTATTGGCGCTGCGAAAATAATGGAATTGTCAAAATAAAACGGGTTAAGTGCTTGTTTGCATAGCTTTTTGACAACACCAACAAACTAGCCTTCCCCTCGCTTCATATGTGCAGTGCTATGGGTATTTTATTTTTACACTCTGAGGAAAACAGAAATTCAACGGAAATTAAATCACTCCGTCGGCGTCAGGAAGTCTCCGCGGATTTTTGGCACCAACCGGAAAATTGTTCATTAGCAATTTGTGTAATTAAAAAGAGAGTGCAGCAGGGTTGTCCTTCACAACCACTGCCCTTCTCCTTTCGCCTTTCGCCCACTTTAAGTGGCCCCCGGAACTCCCAACCCTGTCTGGCTAATTTGTTTTCCGCCTGGCAGTGACACATGGCGACAGTCTAGGTGGCGTCATGCTCAACTTTTGACCCGATCAAGAACGAACCCATCGCTGGCTAATTTTGGCGCCCCCTCACCCATCTGCCCGGGTTCCCATATATAATTAAGCAATAGGCTCTTGTTTTCGGCCACCTTATCATAGCCAATCAGCCAGATTAATGACCATCGACCGTCCGAACTCGCCATTCGTCTGGCGGCTGTAGACCAAAAAGTCTGTCTAGTCGTAGTAGGCCTCTGTTTTCTGTTGCCAAAAAAACACCAAGAGTTGATTTCCAGTTTTAGAGCGGCTTTAGTTTTGGTAGTTCAATTTGATACACTAAAGCTCAAATGTTTTATGCAAATGATATTTAAATAAAGACAATGTCAGAAACAAGCAAGTACGAGTGGAGAGGAGCAGGTTCGGCTAGGGGCACTTTAAAAAATCCCCTGTAAAATTACAAAACAAATAATAATGGATTCCAAATAAATAGATTAGATAATATAATAAATATATTAAAGGCGTACAGTTTATGTAATAAAATTTTTTAATAAAACTGATACAGATTTTTGTGAAACTTTTTTAATAATATAACAACTTAAATTAAAATTCTTATAAATAACAACAATTTATAATCAGGTGGATTAAGTACATATAACATTTTTATATCAGATCAATTGTTAATATTTTAATAGAACAAATTAAAGAATAAAAAATATTTTATGTAGAAACTCATAAGAAAAATCCTCCCACTCTATATGAATTTTACGAAAGAAGGTGCTTAACTCTAGTCGAAACAACTCTTCCTGGCCAGCGTAGGGTATCACAGTTGACCATTGGCGTGGCTCGTAAAATTCTGGTTTCTGGCATATTAAAAGACCCTGATATCCGCACTTCTTCACTCGTATTAATGTTTATCTTTTGCTTCTGCACCGCGCCCAGCTTTTGGTATAAATACGACCCCACGGATCGTTTAAAGACATACTAGAAACCTCAACGTTCCCAGTAACACATATCCAAAATGGTTAGTAAAGCTTAAGAGAGAATATTATTTGAGTCCTGAATAAACGTTAAATTGAATTGCAGAAATTCCTGGTTGTCGCCGTTGCCCTTTTGGCCGTTGCCCACGCCGATGTGTCCCACCTGTCGGGCTACAACTACGCTCCCGTGAGCATCCCGCTCCCGGCTCCTCTGCCCGTGAAGGTGGCTCCAGCCCCTGCCCCCGTGAACACCTACATTCCCCCCGCACCCGCACCAGCTCCCATCCAGATCGAGGTTCCCGCTCCGGCACCCGCTCCCGTGGCCATCCCCGCCCCCGTGAAGGTCGCCCCTGTGGCTCCAGTCAACACCTACATTCCCCCCGCACCCGTGCACGTTGAGGTTCCCGCCCCAGCCCCTGTTCCAGTGGCCATCCCCGCTCCCGTGAAGGTTGCCCCCGCTCCCGTCAACACCTACATTCCTCCCGCACCCGTGAGCATCCCGGCCCCAGCTCCAGTCTACTCCGCTCCTGCCCCCGCTCCAGTTTACTCTGCTCCTGCTCCCGCTCCAGTTTACTCCGCTCCTGCCCCAGCTCCAGTTTACTCCGCTCCTGCCCCAGCTCCTGCTCCAGTTTACTCTGCTCCTGCTCCCGCTCCAGTTTACTCTGCTCCCGCTCCCGTCCTGGCTCCCCAGCCCGTTCTTGAGGAGATCGAGCCCGTGTCCGCCGATGGCTACCGTTACAAGACCGTCCGCCGTGTGGTCCGTCGCCGTTACTAGAGAGCTAATCCTTCACTAATCCCGACCAGGGAGAAGGTTGTTCAATAAAAACAAAATAGAATTTAACGAAAACAATTGAGTTTGTGTTTAGTGGTTAAGGGATATGGGTTATAAGAAGTTTAGGGGATCGGATGAGTATCACCAAAGTTTCAAGTTCCTTAGAATACTAAGGGTTTTCCCATAGTAATAAAAACTGTAAACTAATATTATCGTTGTTTAACCAAATGTGTAAGGCCGTCTAAATGTATTAAAATTCTATCCAACAAATACCTTACAAACTTAGTTTAAAAAAATATATAAGTTTTTTTTAATTATTAAATCAAAAAACGTATTATAAGTATTTGTTTATTATTTTAAAAAAATACCTGGTTAAAAAACACATTCAAACGAATAAATAAAAACAATATAAGGTATAAACCTTTAAAAAAAAACTTCTTGTATAATAATTTCTCTGCCCTCTGACCTTTTTTAAGCTATGTGTAAGAACACATCTAACAATTTATCTGCACCCAACCATTTTACTCCATCACTCCCCCAAAACATGATAGCCGACTATTAACCAGATGATGCGACGCTGAAATAAACTGTTTTATAAGCCAGGTGTTCGAAAAAGGCAAACCCAGTCCGGACCCGAGTAATTAATTAAGCTCCGACTAACAACAGACTCCACCGCCAGACATTGTCAAGACTCAAGATCAGCATAATCTAGGCAAATTGAAATTAATTTTGGCATAAACTTGAAACGACGCCATAGGCCCGGCCGACTGCTAATAATTCGCCCAAAGCAGCTAAAAACAGAAACGAAAGAACTGAAAAGCGAAAGAAACAAAGTGAAATAATTATGAAAACATAAAACCTAAGACCTAAGCCAATCTTGCGTGTGACCCACGAGCATTCATCAAGTGGGCAAAAAAAAATAAAGATAAAACAAAAAATGAAACCATTATTCAACATGCAACAATAGATTTGTCTGATCTAATTAAAGAAGCTTTTGCACTATCCGAAGACTAAGACAAAAAGTTGAACCAAGTCAAAGCAAAGATAATACGATTTTGGAAACTGAAAACTGAAAAAAACGAAACCAGAAAACCCGTCAAACCGCCTTGGCATTGGAGGCTCGTTGTCGTGTGTTTGGTTTCGGTTTTGGATTTTCGTTTTCGATTTTGTTATCTTCCGATTCCGACTTCTTCGAGTGAGGCTAAGACCCCCATGTATCATGGGGGCATCATGCAATTAATTTAGCTGCGGTTGACCCGCAGCCCCAAAAAACAATGAGCTATAAAAACCGAAGACACACTTCGAGTTCAGCAGCACAAATCAACCAGTGATCCAAGCAGCAACAAGCCAATCTCCTCAAGATGGTAAGTGCAAGGATTATAATCGCTTAAAAAATATTTAACAATTTATTTTACCCATCCTAGAAATTCCTGATCCTCGCCGTCGCCTTCTTGGCCTGCGCCTATGCTGATGTCTCGGAGCTTTCGGCCGGTGGCTACGATTATCCCCAACCTGCCCCACCAGCGCCTGTAAAGAGCTACATCCCACCCCCACCACCACCACCCCCACCGGCACCCAAGAACACCTACATCCCACCCCCGGCTGCTCCTGCCAAGGCCTACATCCCTCCCCCACCACCACCACCACCACCGGCGCCCAAGAACACCTACATCCCACCCGCACCCGTGGCCGCTCCCGTGGAGACCTACATTCCCCCCCGCTGCCCCAGCCCCCGCCTACATCCCCCCGCCCCCGTTCAGGCCGAGGAGCCCATCGTCGAGGAGATCGAGCAGCCCGCCCAGGACGGATACCGCTACAAGACCGTCCGTCGTCGCGTCTTCCGTCACCGCAACTAAGTCATCTAATTGTTGGCTAATGTGATAGTACCCGGTCACCTAGCTGGGGAATCTGTTAATGTTTTTTAAAGAGTAAATAAATGATAAAAAGAAATACTGCATTCTTTTTAATGAATCAAAAAAGATCTGATCTACAGAAATAATACTAAAGATACTAAAAAAAAAGGAAATGTGGTATTCAAAATGGAATTTTTTTTTTAAATCGAGTAGGCTTCGAAAATGTTTCCGAAACTAGCAGCTCAACAAAATGACCCTAGGATAGGGCTCACAAAATCACCTACCCGCCAGAAGAGGGAGGAGAAAAATACTAGATATGTGCCTGATTAGGGAGAATCGGGAGAGGCGGAAAAGCAACTGTTACGCAATCGGATGGCTTCCCTTCATCATTATCCTGGCCATGTTGGTCTGGTCCTATCACGTCTTGGTCTACCAGATCTGCATTCTAAAAGTCGAGGACTACGTCATCATGGGAATTCTGCTGGTTTTCTACCATCTGCTGCTTTTCATGTTTCTGTGGACTTGGTTTAAATGCATTTGCGTGGCTCCAGCTAAGATTCCAGATCAGTGGAAAATCTCTGCGGAGGATGTGGACAGATTGAAGCGAACTGAGGGGGCGGAGAATGTGTCGCGAATTCTAAGTTATGCTGCCAGGAATCTACCCATTTCCACCTGCACGCCCGAGGGATCGGTGAGATATTGCAAGACCTGCTGGATAATAAAGCCGGATAGAGCCCATCACTGTCGCACCTGCCACGTGTGTGTCCTCAAGATGGATCACCATTGCCCATGGGTGGTGAACTGCGTCCACTTCCACAACTTCAAGTACTTCATACTCTTCCTTTTTTACGCCGAGCTCTATATGTTGTTCCTCTTCTGCGTGATGCTCTATGAGTTTTACCTGATCTGCGGATTTGATCTGAATTACCTGAGATATGAGCATACTTGGAACCTCCTGCAGCATGTCGTTTGCATTATCTTCAACGTTTTCACTCTGATAATGTACGTTTCCAGCGTTTTCAATGTATCCCGAAATCGCACCACCATGGAATCGGCATATCCTTCCTACTTTTTCGTTGGCGGTAAGAACTCACATGGCTTTAATTTGGGGTGTTGTGAAAACTTTCGAGAACTACTCGGCGATAAATGGTACCTCTGGCCCATTCCAATTTTCTCCAGTCGCGGCGATGGACTATCATTTCCCTTGGCCGTCGATAGATTAAAAGAAGTTCATACTGAAAACCAAAGAAAAGATGATGGGCCAACTAGGGCTCAGATAGTCAAAGGAAATGTGACCAGGCTTCTGGGAATTCATCATACCTCTTTCGACTGTGAATAAGTAATATTTTAAAAGTGAAAAAAATATATACAATGTCTTGTTATTTACTTAAGATTTTACTATATTAAAAATAATACTAAACATTCATTTAATAAAAAATTAAGAAGGGCAATTGATTCATACAATTAAAAGATATAGGAGCATATTTATATTATACCAAAAAATTGGGAATGATGAAAGTTCAGTTTTTTGCATATTTATTTTCGTATGCTGGTCAGCTTTTATTTATATTTTTCCTTGTCAATACATTTAATATATTTTTGCAGGCCCTTGAGAATTTAACTAAACAGTTCAAACTCTTCGAATTCGTAGACAATTTGAGTAGGAGTCGCTCCCAAACATCAACATCTTAATTTACGAGTCATTGGCAAGTGCATCAGAGCATCGGGACTCCATTCGCTTGACAATCGCAGTCCGCTGGCCATTTTCCCGACCCGCTGAGTGGCCAACATCGATAAATCCTCGGCATTCCGGCTCTCCTCCACCTCGAGAAGTCGTTTATAAAACGCTTAACATTCGTGACATATTTCGCATTTGGCCGCGCGTCGGGCGCAGAAATTTATAGACTTTATCCATTAGGAAAACAATTACGAGTGCAAACAATGGCCAATGTGCGATGTCCAATGGATGGACTCCCCATCGCTAGAGGCGATTCCTTCGAGCATCGAGCATATGTTGGGATTGTCGGGCCCCAAGTTCATTGTCCTCGTCTATATTTTCTTATTATGCTGTGGCGACTTCTTGACTGCTGCAACACAAATCCAATTACCTTCAAAATAATAAACTTATGTACATACCAAAAAGGAAAAGAATGCCATCCGAAGGAAGAGTCCCTCCATTTCCCCGGCTGCCGTACGCACATTTTGCTTTATCAACTGTTGATAGACTCCGTGGGGAATTTTCCGTATGTCACGACAAAGAAGACGCTGCGAATGGAAATGGAAAACAGGAGCTGTCTGCCGTCGGGCGGCATTTTTTTCCTTCCCAGCTCCTGTGCTCTGAAGTCTGACTCCTTTTCCCGCCCTCAAAATGCACTGAGGAAAAAGAGAGTGTCTTAAGTCTATAAATAGGTGCAAGTCTTTTGACTAATTCAAATTTAAAATTTTTTTAAGATCAATTAAAAATAGGAATAAAAGTGTATTTATTAACAAAAAAAAATTAATAGTTCTTTACTATTTACATTTATCTCAAAACTCAACGAATTCATTTTCTCCTTTTCTACGGATCATCCTAAAACTACTTATACCTTTCAGTTCTTGTTGGTTTAAAAATGTATTATTTTTAGGAACTTGCTGATAATTTCTTAAAGTGCTTAGACCATAGCTTGCTGATTTCCACAGCTTGTTTGCTGCTCATTATTCGCCTTTGGCTGGTCTGCAGGAGACGGGACGTAGTCCTGGCTGTAGTTGGTCGCCAAATGCACGAGCGCAAATAATTTTTGCCACTTGCATGTCATCAGCATAAAGTGAGTGCAAAATATGTGAACGTCGACTTGGCAGCGGAAATTCGCCTTAGAGCGCAGAGTCAACAGCAATTGGCCAAATGACTTGTAAGGGTCCTCAGAAGAAGGAGGAGGAGGTCCTAAAGCAGGTCCTGTGCCCAGCCACATGTCCATGTCGAAAATCCCCCTCTTCTTCAGCCAACTCGCAGCTTATTGAATTCGCATATTTTCCCATTTTGCATTATGGGCAAACATTTCCCATTTTTTCCATTTCGCCATCCTTTGTTTTTGTCCTCTGTTTGATTTTGTAATCGAGGATTTGTTTGCTTTGGCTGAAGCCAATCGATTGCCGGGAAGGGGCAGCACTTTTTTACCCTGCTCATTGAATGTTTCAGCAATTTTTGGTTAAGTCAAATTGGTCTAGTCGTCGGTTTGACCTTTTCACTGTCAGACTTTCGCAAAAAAAAAAGGAAAAAGGGGAGAGAATCCATTGGAATGCCAGTGTTGGCCAGAACATGTGTTTGGCCTTGAGCGGTTTGTTTAGGCCTTTATGGGTTGGTTGGTTGAAGTTAAAGAGGGTTGGCTAAGAGGGAAAATCGAGGGGGATGGTTATCGCCAAGGAAAACCGTTTAAATGGCGACTTTGACATTGCAAATTGAACTTGGTCGATGATAACCTGTTGATAAGGAGATTGAATTTAAAAAAGAAAGAACGCTATAGACGGGTTCCCAAGGATCTACATTATTAGTCCCAACTTTCAATCTTTTATAGTTTCCGAGATCTCTGCGTTCATACGGACAGACAGACAGGCAGACGGAAATGACTAGATCGACTCGGCTAGTGATCCTGATCAAGAATGTACCTACTTTATATGGTCGGAAACGCTTCCTTCTCTCTGTTACATACTTTTGCACGAATACAATATATTTAAATATGCTTAAATACGCGGTACAGATGTTTATATTTAATTGTATTATCCATATTTTCATTCCATAGTTTCTTAAAGAAATACTAGATCCAAACTTATAAACGTAGATATTTAAGTAAATATACATATATGACAGGTGGGGACCCAGATCTAAATATTATATAAGTGTTTGACAGCGAGTGAATATTGTAGCAAAGAAACTATATAATAATATATATATTACTATATAATATAGTTTAATCTATTAACATTAGCACTAAAAATTCTAAAGAGCGCTTGAATATAAAAATATACTAAAATATTGTAACATTTAAAACAAAACACGAACGCGTGGCCAATAAATTCGTTGGACTTGTGTTGGCATATAACACTTCGTGTGGTAGAATATCAGATGTAAATTTTAGAAATCGCTATAAAGGCGGAAACTGCGACTCAAACAAACAAACTCTACAGGGCTTCTGGCGAGTGCTATCTTCTTTACTTGAGCTTTGATTGAAATAAACCAAAACCGATTTCACCATGCTGATTAACCGACTTTCCTGTCAGAAGCTTCTGGTCTTCATTGCCTGCATTTTCGTGGCATTGGACACTGCCGACGCTATTCAGTGTCTAAAGGGATATACCTACAGACATGGCCACTGCCAAAAGAAGAAGAATTAAATATTAAAACTCTCATCGAAAGAACTTTTTTCGCAAATGCTTTGAGAATGAAATATAAAAATACAAAATGAAAGTTTATGTTAAATTTTTGGGTCAAAGAAAACGAATTAACTTTTTGGCTATGATAATAAGAACTAGCAATCTCTAAATAAAGATTATTTGTTACCCAAAAATTAAAATTGGATAACCTTGACAAAATTTTGATATTTTTAAAAATGTAGGAAACTAATATAATTTGATGTCTAAAAATAAGCCATATCTAGATTATTGGGAAAAAATATAATACAGCCTTTTGAAAAATATCAGAGGTTGCCTTGAGAACGTCTATTTGGGAGTGCAATCGACCGATTCGCTTGTTACTCAATTAAGGGCCGTTTTCTCTTCTCTTTGCTGGTCCAAGCTTCTACTTTTGAATGTCTTGTCTTCTAAATGGTGCGAATATTTAAGTAGGTCGTTGTATGGAGGAAAGATATATGGAAAAGGAACTGGCATGAAATGTCCGATCGGAACAACCCTTACTGCTAATTATCACTGCAGCAAGATGGCAAAGCGTGTCTTTGCCTTTGTCTTTTTTATAAAATATTGTAATTCAAAAATTTATAAATATAATAAACAAGTATGCCTATTTTACTGCCTTGTTTGTTTTTAATTCCTATCTGCATAGGGGCTTCAAGAATCTGAATCAGAATCAGAATTAAACCTGACTAAGTAAAATTTATAATAATATCATTTTTTAAACCAGGAAAATCTTAAATTTCAAATTTCCTTTGAAAAAAAAACATATGTTAAATTTTATGTCAATTGGTGGGTATATTTTCCTGTTAACTAAACTTTGGTTTACACCAAAGTAAATACAAGACAACAAACATGGGGGTTCAGTTATAATTTCTCAACAATCTTTACTCTCCAAGTGAATTTCAGAGGATGGCAGTTCAGCAATTACACTCGAGTCAACAAATTAACAATAACAATTGGCTTCCAACTTAGTTGCGGTGACGGAAGACGCGACGACGGACGGTCTTGTAGCGGTATCCGTCCTGGGCGGGCTGCTCGATCTCCTCGAGGATGGGCTCCTCGGCCTGAATGGGTGCAGGTGGGATGTACTCGGGTGCCGGAGGTGCTGGGGGGATGTAGGTCTCCACGGGAGCGGGTGCCGGTGCCGGGGGTGCGGGAGGAATGTAGGTTTCCACGGGAGCAGCAGGAGCGGGCTGCTGGTAATCGTAGCCAGGAAGCTCCGAGACATCAGCGAAGGCGCAGGCCAAAAAGGCAACGGCAATGATAAGGAATTTCTAAAAAGATTTTAGAAACGTGTAATATTAATTATGGGTTTTAAAATGTTAAATGACCAATAGTATTTTTTACAGGTTGAAAATAATCAATTTATTAACTTTAAGTTATATTTAGGGAAGCTTATTATTATTTAAACGATGGTAGATTTTTTTAGGCTATTCTAGATTTTTGGGTAGTTTGGTAATTTTTCTCACGCATATTCTATTCTCAGTAAATCATAAGAACTCATAAATTTTAAAAATATTGATATTATTTAGTCACAGGCATATTTAAAAAACTCTTGTTTTACGATAAATATTTTTAGTCCAAGTTTAGATATCCGACTCACCATGATTTCAAGTGTTTAGACTGCGCTCAACGAAAGATGTGTGCTGCGGATGCGATGGTCTCCCATGGCTTTTATATGGCCGAAAACTCTTTGGCCCACTCATGCCGATGGCAACGGAAGCAACATGAGACCCAAATGACTTTGAACTTGATCTGTGATCTGTGGCTGATCTTCAATCGCTCACTCAAGACTTGATCGATGAATCCGAATCTGAATCGAACCGGTTGGCCGGCACTTTTGGATGCACAGGCCATTAATCGATGGAAAAACTTTGATCACGTTTCGTGTTTACTTTTGTTTGCCTAATGCATCGCCCGTCCCATTGTCTTTTTGAGTGGACAAATGATGACTTCGTTAGAGGTCGAATTCGAGCTGAAAATCTTGACTTGACTTTTGGCTTTTGTTTTGTTTGAAGCTCGAGGCGCAGCCCTTTAATTGATTTGCTTGTTGAACTCGGCCTTGGGTTTCGACCCCCGCATGGAAAATACATGAGTCTCTGGCTCCGCTTGATTAAAACCAAATTTAATTTGCATCTCAGTTTTGCTGGTTTATTTGGTCTTGCTGTTATTACTCGGCTGGGGTTTATGGCTGGACCTAACCCCAATTACAAAACTCGAACGGGAACTGCAGTTGCGAAGTTTAAGTGGTGAGCAAATGTTCTGTGAAGAGGTATCCAGATTGCACAGTGGGAAAAGACGCGGTAATTAGAAGCATATTAAAATGGAGTTTATATATCAATTCAAATTAAATATATTATTTGTATTTTACGATCGACTGATAGTGATGTAAGCTATTTTTCTATATTACATCTTTATCTTTTAATGCATCGTATATTATTTTAAAATATTTTAAATTTAAATTAATTGTTTTATTAAACTTAGAAAACTTATTACTAGTATTTTCTTTTATAACTTATCCATTATAAAATTTTTGCTCATTTTCTTTTCCAATTCCATCTTGTTTTTCCCCACCTCCCTTGACTATTTCATTTCAATTTTTTATTCTCTTGGCCAACATTTTCATTTCTTCGTTTCGCCTTCCACTGTTGTGTCTGCCTTGTAACTTTTGTAGCTCTTGATAATATTGCAAATAATTTTCTTTTTTATGTTGATTATTTTTTGGACACCCGGCACAGACACCTGAGATTCACCTGGCTTTTGGCCCCGCCTCCCTTTACAACCTTTTTTATTAACTTCGTTTTCATTTGTGCCGTTGCCTTCACGAGCTCATCATATTTTAATGTGGAAGGGATTCGGCGGCGGATCGTCTTTTGGCTTTTCCAGCTCTCCAACTCTCCAGCTCCTCGGGCTGTTCTGTTCTATGTTTCAAATTATTCTCGAGAGATTTGCAGTTCGTGATTTTACGGCAGCCAAAGAAGAGGGCAAGGGGTTCGAAATTCACCCCCAGGACTCAAAACAGGGGTTGGTAGTCGCTGTGAGTCAAGACATTTCCCGAATGCAATTGCAGCTTTGGCTTTTAATTACCCCGCTTAAGTCCGTATTAACTCTGGCCTAAGCCTTTTTTAATTTGCCCCCACCTCGCCGGCAGCTGTCGTAATTGAATTAGGAGCCAGGAGACAATGCAGCGTCGCTGAACCTTTCACGCTGTTATCCTTGATAATTAATTTAGACGCCATTGTCCAGTGGACAGTAGACTCCCCTGTTGGCCGAAAGGCAACTCCGGTCCCCCCGGCAAATCCTTTGCCATTTCACATCACGTGCGACGCTCCACTCGTCCTGCTGCTGTTTCTTTTTTTTATTTCATAAATCGCCAGGACACACACAAAGTTGTCCAGCTGCGGAACAGCACAAAAAAATTGGGAGGGGGCAAGGAATCTCCCCGAAAAAGATAGAGGAAGAAAGTTCCCAGTTTTATGGCGAAAAAATGAAGCGGCAGTTTTGACAACGCACGTCCATCCTAGAAGAAAGAAAAAAAGCACTGTGAAAAAATAAAGGTAAGAGGTCATCTCAAAACAATTAATTATACATACAATTTAAATTGAAAGTTCTGAACTGAATTAAAATAATAATATTAAAATAAGATTCAAATAATAAGGTTCCATTTATTGTATCTTATTTTAATGTTTTCATTGTTCAAAATTTGTAGTTTTTCTATTTAGTTATCATATCTTTTTGTCCAAGTGTAAGGGCCATGCTGGGGTCATGTGGCTTGCATATGGAACTACAATAGACAGGTACAAGATGCACACGTAGCACGCATTGCCAGAGGAGCCCCAAGAAACGAAACGAAATATGGAATCACCTTTTGTAAGTTCGGGGCCATGAAATCGAGTTTACATCTTACTCCTCTGTTGGCAGCGGCCATAATTAAATGTCAAAAATGACGCTACGTGCTGAGCAAGCAAATCGGCTGACGAGTGCCGGGCCAAAGTTCACAAAAAAGCGGTACTTGCCATGTCAAATGGCATTAGAGTTTATGCAAGTTTATCCGAAAAATAAACTTATTTCAAGCAACAGAATCGTAAAGTTCTCAACGCACAAATTGTTGCATACATTGCCTGTCACTACTAATTGCTAGGAGGTACAAACTGCAAGACATCAGGACCCGAGTTCAATTCCGAGTCGAGTATAATTTTTTTTCTCCAAATTCTTTTTTCTTACTTTTTTTTTACTAACCAAGAGCTTTCTTCACCCAGCCCCAAAACTTGTTGGTAACTTTTCCTGATATCAATTTATAATTTCTATTATCAAGAATAGCCATTTGTAATCGCTTAATTTAGTGCCACAAACTTTTACACAAAACGGAATACAACATAACCAAAGCCCTGCAAATAAAAAAACGAAATTGCCCCAAAAGTAATTTAACATTGGCGCAGTTTCCCCTTCGCATCCGCCACATTTGCAAAACTCTCGAAAAAGTAGCTGGAACTATTTAAAGTTTCCTTTTTGCTGCTTTTCCCTCAATGTGTATCGTACTTTTTATTGCCATTCGCTATTATTTGTTGCCCCTCTGTCGCTGCATATGCATATTATGCCCCCGAGGCATAGGAAAACACTTCCCCCACCAACCTTCTCTCTCCTGGCGAAAGCCAGACAACAGCAACGACTCTGCGATGGTTATGAAAAAGTACTTAACGTGCACAAAACTTATGTGCCAAGAGATTTTATTTTTTCCCTCATAGTCGGGCAAAAGTTACAACGACATGCCAATTTTTCAAAGGACCAGGGGGGCAATAGGTACTCCAAGGGAAACACAGGGTGGTCTTGGCAAGCTTATAAAATATTGCCAATAATACGTTGTTAGCGGAGACTTGCCTCCCCTAACGCAGAACGCATTTCTCCTGGCGGCCAAACTTTTAATGCACTTCCCCAAATGCACAAACAGAATTGCAGAACTCTATTCAGAGAGGGCTGATCATCCTCCCCACTCTCTGCTTAATTTGTCAAATATAAATGGAAGCATTTCACACAAATAAATGGCCCTAATAATTATCTAGGGAAATGGTTGACTGCACAATACAAAATTATGACCATTTATGACACCTCGATGGATGTTTAGGTAAAAAACTTAAATTAAATATACTTATTTTGGGGACCTATTTGAACATCTTGAGAATTTTCCATATAAAATCATTTGTGCAGCAGTCTGGATATTCGTTATATCTTCGCATTACCAGCATGTTAAGCTTATCATATTACAAAGTAAGATTAGATCTTATTCTAATTTAATTCAAATTGATTCGTATAAAAGGAGCACCACTCAGAATTCGCTCTATCCGTTGTTACCGAGCGATCATCGAAGCCCTGCGTCCAACCGATTCGAAAACCGCAAAGGACACTGGGCAAATCCTCACGCTGCCGAATAGAACGATTCAACTCATCAACGCGGGTGCACTTGGCTTTCAGCTAGTGTGAAAGTATGTGAAGACTGACTACAGAAATGATCCTGTGAAGTATAGTCTTAACTGTTCGTTGTCCAACCTGTGGATCTTGGTCTCGGAGAGGCCAGAACTAGTTGGGAATTACAAGGGTGTGCGCATGAGAAAAATTAACAACTCGTGAGGCGATAAGCAAACACTATGTGAGTATGGCGACGGCAGTATTAGAGGGTGGGGACTCGAATTTGGTTCTAATTTTGTTGTTTCTTGGGTTTCTCGCTTGACAACTGTTGGCGAAGATCGGAAAAACAAAATAAAAAGACAGGAAAAAAAGAAAAAAAAACTTGGCAGCGGTGGGATTCGAACCCACGCCTCCGAGGAGACTGGTGCCTTAAACCAGCGCCTTAGACCGCTCGGCCACGCTACCTTGTGGCGGCGCATGTCAAATGCGCATGAAGAGCCAGAGCGAGAAGGCAAAGGTTGATTGCTAAATTTCTCAGGGTGATTTCCACTTTGAAATTCTGGTACTTTAGAAATTCTTCGCTTTCAGATATTTCTGCCACAACTACTCCCTACTGTTCCAAGTAATTTCGCAGCCTTGCGGTCTTGACAAAACTATTTCGTCGAGTCATTCATTTCATTTACTGCTCCTTGCTGGCGAGCATATTAAGTGGACATCCTCCTCTAAACCACCCGGAATGCGGCTATTGTTCAGTTTCCGTCGCTGGCATTTCAATTTGTCAATTGTTTGAAATTTAATTTTATTCCGACATAGCAGCGTGCTGGCCAACATTCTTGATAATGCCCACAATTAACTCCATTAGCGTTTTTACCTGGCCGGTTGTCCGGGTGACTCGGAGTCCACTTGGGTTGTACGTGATTTTTTGTGTTTTCCCAGCAGCTGTCTGGCGTGGAAATTGAACAATTTTATAATTATTTCCATGCCGCTCGCCTTTAAATTTGAATAAATCCACGTGTGTGTGGCAAAATATTCGCACTGCTGACGCGGCTTCTGACTTTTTGCTCCCTTTTTTTGGTGGCATTTTAATGAATCCGCAAATGCTGCCTCACAACCCCTTATTTTGGCCTCATATACAAAGCACCCTTGTAGCAACCGCAGACTTTGTTTTGTTTTGCTTTGCCCTGCTTGGCGTCCCGTGCAAAGATTTTTATTGCAATTTTCTAATTTCATTGCGGAGTCTTCTGGCCAACTCGACTCCGATGCCGGCTTCAGTTTATGGCTTGCAACAATGGGAAATTGTTGCTGCGGTTGCATGTGTGAGCGAGGACCACGACCACCGCCTGTCACGCATAAATTCGCATTTTCATTTGAATTTTAAACGCATTTCTAAGCTGACGCCGCCAGGCAAAAACGCTGACAGCTTTGCAAAATACATATAATAAACATTTTAATGCAGCAGAACGGCGAAGGCGGAAGGCTTGCGCCAGAAATTGATTTCGTTTGATTGACATTTTCCCTTTTCCAAATGAGAGCATTTATATGCGCCGCAGTGTGGGTGGAAAAATAAAGACAAGGTGTTGCGCCCATAAAAATAGTTCCACACGAACCGCAGAGATTGAGATACAGATACAGATACAGAATGTTAGAACTCTCCGTGGCTCTTGATGAGCATTTGACATGCGCCGCAACAAGGTAGCGTGGCCGAGCGGTCTAAGGCGCTGGTTTAAGGCACCAGTCTCCTCGGAGGCGTGGGTTCGAATCCCACCGCTGCCAAGTTTTTTTTTATTTTTTTCCTCTCTCTTTATTTTGTTTTTCCGATCTTTGCCAACAGTTGTCAAGCGAGAAACCCAAGAAACAACAAAATTAGAACCAAATTCGAGTCCCAACCCTCTAATACTGCCGTCGCCGTACTCACAATGTGTTTGCTTATCGCCTTACGAGTTGTTAATTTTTCTCATGCGCACACCCTTGTAATTCCCAACTAGTTCTGGCCTCTCCGAGACCAAGATCCACAGGTTGGACAGCGAACAGTTAAGACTATACTTCACAGGATCATTTCTGTAGTCAGTCTTCACATACTTTCACACTAGCTGAAAGCCAAGTGCACCCGCGTTGATGAGTTGAATCGTTCTATTCGGCAGCGTGAGGATTTGCCCAGTGTCCTTTGCGGTTTTCGAATCGGTTGGACGCAGGGCTTCGATGATCGCTCGGTAACAACGGATAGAGCGAATTCTGAGTGGTGCTCCTTTTATACGAATCAATTTGAAAAAAGTTAGAATTATCATAGATAAAATTTACTGTTCTGAAAAACTTAAAACTTTGAGTATCTCAGGTATGGTTTTCTAAATTGTGAAACGATTTATAAATTGCGTATACGCTTATAAATGAATATATTTTCCCGTCTTTTATGGTGGGTAAAATACTTGTCTTTTAAAGAAGAGTTAAATAATGTTCTGATTTCCAAATTATGATTTACAATTGTTATTTAAATCTTAAACATTTCCATTTCCGCCAGTAATAAAGCCACTTTATTGAAATTAAATACGAACTCTTTAACGCTGCAATAATTGAATATGCGGAGCAGTAAACCTTCCTGTTCCCCAGGCAGTAATATTGTTGTTTCCGCCCGCTCTAAACACTGTTGCCTCTGTTGTTCGGTGAAGCAATTAAAACAGCACTTGAGGGGCGACCCTTTTGCCGCTCCGCTTGTTGCCAGTTTCAAGTGTTTTTGTTGCACGTTGACAGTCCGTTAAAGGTGACACAGCCGAAGCGCCACCCACCACCCCCTGAGAATTATAAAACATTTTAGTGGGAAGCAGATTTCCGCTTTTTTGTCGCTTCAAGTGCGCTTCGTGCTCAAGACTTGGCAGTGAGTGGTCCAAAAAAGAAAAAAACGGTAAACTGTAAATTTGTAATAAAATTTTCGCTAATGGTTTTTGGGGGGCGGTGGAGCCTCTAATTACTTAACGCTGCATATGAATGGTCCTCGAGCGAGGGCGTGATTTTTGGCTTAATTCAGAGTTGCAACGATCTCAATTAGTGGATGATGATGACTACTTGGAAGTGCCTTCAAGTGGCATGTCCTTGGCGAACTTTTTCATGTTCGTGTTTTGGTTGGCGAACTTCTTCAGTTCCTCGAAATGGGCTCCATACGTTAAGCCATAGTGCATAAATATTTGAGGAGCTTGTCTGCTGCACGCAACAACAATTAAGTGCTGCCTAGTTTTTGTCAACTGTCCCATTTGGTTTGGCCCGGGGGCCTCGTTTTTTGCCATTTCTGTTGCCAAACACGACACAACACGTACTGAAAATTTATTTAAGCAATGCAAAGCAAATACGAGTGGCTGTTTTGGAACAGTGCGTATCATGCAAGGTAGTTTCTAAGGGTTTCAAAAAATTAGAACCCTAAATAAGGCCTTATATTACTATCACTAATAGGTAAATGTTCAAGATTTCACAAACCAATTATTTTGAATACAATTAAGTTTCAAGTATTAAAAATTAAAGTCAAATATATGGACTACCTAATTTTTAGAATATATAAACAGAAATTGGTTTTAAAAGAGGGAATAGAAGAAATAGGACATTTTTTTTACAATTTTTGACAATTTTTGAAAACTTTCATATCCGTCCTTTAATTTATTCCTAACAAAGTATAAACCTTTGATACACACTGTTTCCATTTCGGTTAACTTGCAAGTGCCTTATTTTTTGAGTGCTTACATAAAAACACATTTGAAATGCGGTTAAAGGGGAAAGGAAAAGAAGAAGGATGTGGAAGGGAAATGGAAAATGGAGCCGAGGGAAAAAGAAAAGCAAGCACAGCAGTCGAGGAAGCGCCACCTAGGGGCCCGAATTGACATCATCATCATGCTCTTCCTGGGGCCAATCGATGATGATGATGATGATGATGCTGATGGCAATGCGGCTGATGCCGTAATTGATGTCTTTGCGACATGCTTTCCCAAAGTGTTTACGTTGGGAATTACCCATGTGTGTCACTCAGTGTATGTGTGTGAGCGAGGGTTGGGGGGCGTTGGGCGGTTGGCCACGCCCCCAGCTAGTTGACAGCCTGCCGTTTACGTGCACTTAATGAAATGTGCCCCAAAATGGAAGCACGTACCGGGCATCTATTTAATGAGCCCGGCAAGAGGTTCTTCTTGCGGAGGAAATTTCAAGAGGGGTTCTGTCTTTGGGGGTGGGTGGAACAAATATCTATGTATTCCTCATGAAATTTTTAAATGTCGCAGCTTAAATTCAATTTAATTTAGCTGCACAGGCTGCATTATTTAATGGCACTCACACGTAAGCGGCTCAAAGAAAAACCCTCTAACACTCTGGGAAAAAACCTCAAACCTAAAACCCCAACTCCGACCGCAGTTTAAAATTCATGTGAGCTTTTCAACAATTTTCCCAAACAAAATGCGATTAAATGTGCGGAAAATGCTGAGCTCTTGTTCTCGGGTTTTCTCCTCTTGTTGTTGCTGCTGCTGGATAAGCCACAATGGGTTAAGGCAACGTCTTGTTTGCACATGTGTCGCTAGGGGGCGCCACCCCGCTAGCCCCTTAACCCCCTGACGCCGCTTTGGAAAAGTCGGAAAAGTGGGAAAAGTCGGAAGTCGGAAAACATTCATACACACTCACATGCCGAAGGTGCAAAAATGCGTTAAACATAACATGCTAATTCCTGGCGCCTGCAGCTTCAATCTTTCACCTGGCCAGGTGGAATTCCCACCCGCACCCAGGGATATATGTATGTGCACCACCCACCATCCTTTTGGCCCTCGGAGATCGTCCTGCGGCAGGACTCACTCGTTGGCTATGTAATACGAGCGTTTTGTGTGCCATTTGATGCCCAAGTTTTCCTCTATTTTCTGCCATTTGCATTTGTGCTCTGTGTGGCTTCTATATTCCCTGCCAGGAGGCAGTTTCATTTGGCTTTTAAGCTATGTCAGTACGGACATTAAAAACATTTAGTAGAATTCAGACAAATTATAATAAAAAGTTTAAGAAAAACTACAAATGAAAAGAGTTGTAATTTTTGTAAATTTATTTCTTTAAACACTTTTTACTATTTTCTATCTATTAATAAACGTTTACATCCTTTTTTTTTAATAATAAAGAAGAATAAGAATAAAAGAGGAAATTAAGGGTAATTTAGAAAAGATATATTAAAATAAATATATATAAATCAACTACTTAAATTTAAATAAATTTTTCTTAATATATTTCTTTAAAAAAGGGTGTTTACTATTTTGATATCCCACTTATTTCAACACCTATCTTTTGGCATTTGTTTTTTTGTACTTTTACGGAACTTTTGAGGCGTCTGACTTTTAAAATTTCACATTTAAAATTCACTAAATATTAAATTGGAACTGATTCCATCGATCGGAGGGTTCGTAGCCCTGGGAATACATACAAAAGCTTTTTGGAGCTTTTTCTCTCTCTTATTTATTCACGTGCAATCAGTTGATTTTTGCACGCCGCCTGTTTAACGTAGTTTTTGATATGGATACCTCCAAAAACGGCATCCGGGGATCTTCCTTCAAGTACGGACCGGCTGTACGGATCGGAATCGCGGTCCTGGTGCTGCACACCGTCGGCTGGTTGGGTTGGAAGGCTGTGAACCAGGGTGCGGAATCCAAGGAGGCGGCTGCCAATGCCCAGCACGAAAAACTACGAGCGGCATTTGCGGAAAAGTGACGTAACAGGGGGGTAGTGATAAATCAATAGTTGTTAACAAACTGTTTTAGACTGAGTGAACTCTAAGTAATTATTTTTGAACACCAAAGAAAATTGAAAATCAAAATAATACGTAAATACACAATTAGAAAAGAATATACTTTATAAGCCCAATGCTCAGCATTATGTTTAAAGCTTTTATCAGATAATGATTGTTTATAATAAAGTGAATACGCACGAAAAGGTGATAAAACGGTGTTTAATAATAAAACGGAAAACAATAAAAAGTTGGTAAATAAATATGCAAATGATCATTTGCTTTTGGAAACATTATGGTTTACTTTCAAGATGGTTAACCAATATTAAATACGGAATATTTACTGGTCAAGTTAATAAACTTGCAACTTATTTATAAAACGATCGAGAGAGAGTAGCTTTGGCTCTCCCAATTCCACCAAAAACCTCCAGATAAAAGCTTAGCTGGCTTTGAACAGAGAAATCAAACAACTATATGCCAAAGCTTGGCTCGATTCAGTAACGCAGTTCCTAAGCCCGAGGTTACAAGTCGAAACAACTGGAGAAACCCATGGATTTACTATCAAGATTTGCACTGATCGCCGGCCTGCTGATGCTGAGCTGGCAGTGGACCATGGCCATGCCTCCAGTTCCCAAAAGCCAACCTATCAACCAACCCATCTCCAGACCCGATTTACCCGGAATGGACAACTCGGCCATATTGGTGCAGAGCATCTTCAGCATCGATCCGTCTTTGTGTCCCAAGGGTTATATTCGTACTGGCCCTCATAACACGTGTCGCAAGGAAGCCTAAAAAGATAACGACTGTCTGGGAATTCCAGGAGATTAAGTAATATTAGGTCAATAACTGAGCTCCAAAGAGCGGCGTTAATTGAATAACGAATGTCAGACGGGAACGTGCCAAAAGCTGTGTTTTTATTGATACTGATACATAATTTATACACGCAAAAAATAAATTATCATATATTTCAAACCACTGCCGTAAAAAAATGTTTGAATTTGTATTAATGTTCAGTATTTAATAGTTAACTCCAAATTAAAATACTTTTTAGGTGGTTAAGTTTAAAAGAAATCCATTGTTATACTGCATGGATCAGGCTGGTTTCCGGCATCGATCAACGAACAATTGAAAGCCAGATGGACACTTCTTTTCGACTTGGAGCAGTAATAGTATTACTGACAGGAAGAGGAGATATACGAATTTTCTAAGGTTGAGTCCCATCCTCTAAGCGGTCCAGTTTCCTCGAATTCCAAAACAAAACTAATGTTTCCCGATGCCCTTAAAGGCCTTTCATGTAGGCATTTCCCTTGTTATGAATTTGACAGCTGATGGGTAGTGCTCACTTATTTGATTAGACAAAGTAACTAATTGCATACAACACGGTACTTACATTTTTTAGAGATAAGGCTTTTTTTCAGAAAACAGATAAATTTAAGAAAATTATATGAAGCACATTTTTAGTGATTACAAACAAATTGCAATGCTATAAATCAGCTACACTGGAATACGTAATCTCCTGACTCATTTGGTTGCTAAAGCGCATTTTTTTGTTTTCCAGTCCCTTTATTTCCCCTAAAAACAACATTCTTTGGTAATCTCTGGGAAACTTGTATTACCAATCTTGCATAAACAAACTTAATACGATTTTTTTGAATTACTCATAATAAGAGATTTATAGGCAATATAAAAAGCAATCATTTATTTTTAAAACATTTAATGGTTTACTTTTAAGAAAAAGTTTCTTCTTTTACCTACATTGGTCTGTTGGTTAACCAATATTTACGGATCACCTTAATAAACATGGTAAATTTGCAAAACAAATCTGTTAAAAACGATCAAAGAGAGTAACTTTCGCTCTCTCATTCCCACCAAAAGCCCCACAGATGAAAGCTCTACTACCTTTGGGCAGAGAAATCCACTACTTATAAGCCAAGCTCCGCTCGAATCAGTAACGCAGTTCTCAAGCCGAGATTACGAGTCGAGTACCTGGGAAAAACCATGGATTTGCTATCAAGATTTGTACTTATTGCCACCCTGCTGATGCTGAGTTGGCAGTGGACAATGGCAGTGCCCACTATACCAAATAACCAAAACAGTGGAGGATCCAGCAGTCAACAGCCTCTACCGGCAGAATTTCCCCCTGCTGGAAGCATCTTTAACCTCGATCCATCTGTGTGCCCAGAAGGCTATGTTCGGGGTCCTCGAAATAGGTGCCGTAAGGAGGCCTAAAAAGATAACGTCTGTTTTGGATAATATTCGGCGTTAATTCAATAACGAATGCCAAACGAGAACGTGCCAAAAGTTGTGTTTTAAGTGTAACTGAAACATAAAATATACACGAACAAATAAATTATTTAAAAACTAGCTATTTCTACATGTCTTAAACCTTTTCAACTTGGAGCAGAAACAGTATTACCGACAAGGAGAGGAGGTATACGAATTCTCTAATCTTGATTTTCATCCCCTAAGCGATCCACTGTATTACAATTTTTTATAAATACGCTATTTTACTTTCTTTTAAAAATTGTAAGGGTCGTTTACTTTTTTAAAAATTAATGGGTTACTTTCAATAAAAATGTATTTATATATTGGACTGCTGGTAAACCAATATTTACGAATCAACTTAATAACTTGGTAAATCTGTTAGAAACAATCAGAGAGAGGGTAGCTTTGGCATTCTTACTCCCACCAAAAGCCCTCTAGGTAGAAGCTTAACTGCCTTTTAGTTGATCCAAGCTGAAATCCACTACTTATAAGACAAGCTCGGCTCGAACTAGTAACGCAGTTCTCAAGCCCGAGATTACGAGTCAAGATACCTGGGAAAAACTATGGATTTTCTATCAAGATTTGCACTAATTGCCGCCCTGTTGATGCTAAGTTGGCAGTGGACATTGGCTACGCCCGTCTTTAGCGTCTATAAGATCAATCCATCTTTGTGTCCAGAAGGCTATATTCGTGGTGGTCCACAAAACAAATGTCACAAGGAAGCCTAGGAAAAAAACGTCTTCCCCGGAATTCCAGGAGACTACATACTTAAGATTTTTGGTTTAGAAAAGTTTTCAATTTATATTATTTAATATTAAATTTGTTAATGTAGGTAGGGGAGAGTGGGGGAATTTCGTCACAGGGGCAATTTCGTCACCTGCAATATCTCGGAATCCATAAGTCGTAAAAATATATAATTTTTTTGTTTTAGTCCTTCAAGACGGCCAGACACAACCAATGCATTTGTTTTGCACAGAAGGCCAAGATAATTAAGCTATAATATTAAATGTGTTTTAACAGTTCAAAAGCTACATTTAGTTCTCGACGAAATTTTTTCTGTATGCCACAATTCAAAAGGAATAAGATACACGATTTTTTATATAATACACAGTGCTATAATGTGCATTTCTGCGTCAGTGATTTTTAACTTCGCGCCTAATTTCGCAAGAAAAATAATTATTTCTAAAAAAGTACGGTCTGGGGAAATTTCGCCACCCTACGCTAAGGGTAAATTCGCACCTATTTTAAATACATATTTTTATATTTGACGAGCTGTCTAACGAACAGACAACCAGCAGCAGCAACAAATATATGACGTCAACAAAAATGGTACGCTTGATCAGTGTAGCATATTTTCAGGCGTTAAACTCCCTACATTTTTCAGGTGACGAAATTTCCCCAGTTGTGTGGTGATTTTACCCCCTGTGTGGTGAGATTGCCCCAGTATATTGGTTTTACATTTTATTTTTTTATAAATCACCAAGCTAATTAAAAAAATAGGGGAATGTCACATTTTAAAGCTTGGTGCTAACCGCATTCAACAATAAAAATAGAAATATGATAACGTGTCTCAAGATGGACAAAAAATAGCTTTGAAAAAATGCTGACGAAATTCCCCCACTCTCCCCTATATAATATTTATTTAAATAAATTACACTTTGATTGAGCATTAATTTCTTTAATAACAGTGTTTGGTATTTAAAAGTTATCTCAAATTAAAATACTTTGCGGTACATTGCAATATATCACTTGTCAGGCTGGTTTCCGGCAACGATGAATAAACAATTCAAAACCAGGTGGACAATTCTTATCGACTTGAAGCAGTAATAGTATTACCGACAAGGAGAGGAGATATAAAAATTCGCTAGTCTTGAGTCCCATCTTCTAAGCGATGAACTTTCCTCGACTTTCAAACCAAAACTAATGTTTCCCGAATTCATTTCAGAATTTCCCTTGTTATGAATTTGACAGACGATGAGTAGCGTTCATTGATTCACTGTATTAACATTTTTAATAAGAGGGGTGAGAAAAAAAAAAAAAGAAAAAAAAAAAAAAAAAAAGAGGAAATATTTTTTTTTTTTAAAAAAAAAGGGGGGGGGGGTAAAAGGAGGAAAGAAGGGGAGGGGGGGGGGGGGGGGGGGGAAAAAAAAAAAAAAAAAAAAAAAAAAAAAATTTAGGGGGGGGGGGAAAAAAAAAAAAAAAAAAACTAATAAAGGGGTTTGGAAAAACTAACAGGATTGCATACCAAGACTTTAAGAAAATCAATTGGCTTGGGAGAGAGAGCGGTGAAAGTGAAAAAGTGAAAATTTCGAAATTTGGAGCTGTTGGGGCCGGTGGGGATAAATGTCCCCTCGCAATGTTTTAGTTGTATTCCTTTTGAAAATACCCGTCGAATGAGGGGTCATTTGTCAAAATCCGACTCTCCGTTCAAAAGTTATAGCCAAAATAAGATTTTCTTCTTCTTCCCAAAATGAAAATTTAATTCTGTTTGTCAGTTTGTCCACTTGTCCACTTGTCCACTTGTCCACTTGTCCAAAATATGTTTTTAAGTTCTGAAAATTTGATATGACGTTCATCACATCGATATAAAAACGTTTGTTCTACCACTTTGGAAAAACCCGCTAGTTTAGCGGGAAAACAGCTATAAGTAGCTAAAATTCGGAAAGCCGTAACTTCATACTACTAAAGCTACAGGCTTGGCTGCATCTCGTTTGAAAGGTATTTTTAAATGCTATAAACGCCTTCTATATGCAATTTGTGTAAATGTAATACTTAAAAAAATATGAACAAAAGACAATTTTTTAAAACTTTTTTTTAGCTTTTTTATTTTTCTCAAAAACGGCTCTAACGATTTTCTTTAAAACCTTAAACTGTATAGCCCTTGAGATTCCTTAAATTTTGGTATATAACACATTACTGTAAAAGTCACGTTTAAAAGTTATTTTTATTCGAAAATAGCCACTTTTGCCAGCTCGAACAATTAACGCTCCCTGAGTATTGAATTTTGTGGGAGGGTATCCGAACTGTATTTTAGGGTCATGGAATCAGTAAATTTGCACTTAAGAGTTCCATATAGGAATCTTTTGTTCTACGACTTTTGGAAAAAGCCGCTACTTTAGCGGGAAAAAGCTAAAAATAGCTAAATTTCGTTAGTTTGTAAGTTCTACACTACTAAAGGTACAGACATGTACTATACCTCGTTTAAAAGGTATTTTGAAATACTTCAACGCCTTTTAACTTAATTTGTTAAAATACAATAGTTTAAAAATTATGATTGACCAATTTAAATTTAAATGTATATATTAGCTCCTATGAGAGCAAATGTATACAAACAAAAACTTCGATATCAAATAAAAACACCTTTAACGAGGTAAAAACTAGTACGACCGCACCTTCAACATACAAAAGTTCGATATCAACATTTGTGACGAAAAATTATTACACTCGTCATTAAATAGACTTTCTAATCTTTTCTAATTCGTCACGCTGCAATAGAAAAAGGCTGGAATAGTTTGCTAGGGCGGGCCGAATGAGAAAAGATTAGAAAGTCTATTTAATGACGAGTGTAATAATTTTTCGTCACAAATGTTGATATCAGAACTTTTGTATGTTGAAGGTGCGGTCGTCACTAGTTTTTTACCTCGTTAAGAGGTGTTTTTATTTGATTCATTAATACACCAACAAATTTTGACAAGAAGCTGCTGAAGAACTTAGTGAGCCTTTTTTTCAAAATGATTGTTTTCTGTCTCAGAAATACTTTGAATTTGTACAACGAAGACTAACTTTACCAACGCCACGGCCCGAATTCAACTGATTCAATTTGCAACGAGTATGTGACAAATGCAGGTACACAAGATGATATCATCCAGCACGCTGTAAAATGGTAAGTAATTTTCATACACTTTGTAAAAATGCACAAAATTACCAACAGCTACAGGCATCCATCCACCATCCGCCTCATCTTTAGACGAAGAGGACCTTTTCCCTCGGCCACCTCTGCTACCTCCTTTGCTCCTTCCCTTGCCACCACCTCCGCTACCTCCGTTACCTCCTCCTCCACCTGATTGAAAGATTTGAATATATGCGGGGAAATCGTACCAATCTAAGACTTGAACTTGCGACATGTTTAAATATAAATATATTAGGATAAGTAACCCTAACACAGCACCAATTATACTAATCGGCACTACGTATTTCCATTTCTAATATATAAAAATAATTAGTAATTTTTACACATTATAGTTTTAAGTACTTACGCGTGCGGTATAGATCATAATTAAAAATATAATATGATATGTCGGCCACAAACTTATCATGCCGTATGACACAAAATGCTTGTAAAACTCTTGCTTTCCTATTAAAAAAAAATTGCTTTTAATTTGTATGTTACTATGATAAACGTAGGACTTTCGCAAAATTATTTGGGGAGAACATAAATTTAATCAAAAGCCAAAAAGAGTATATTGTTAAAAAAAAAAACTAAAGCATATTTAATATGCAGTTTGGCGGTGGGGGCTTGAGATTATTATTAGACGAATACCTGGAGGAGCAACTAAAAAAAAAATTGACAAAAATCCTACACCAACTAGAACAGATGTTCCTAAAATTAAAACTATAATTTTACGGACAGAAAGTTTGCACATTTTGATAATTTTGAATAATTTTTTTAGGATTAATTTTGATATATTTGAAATATAAAAGGCTTGAGTGACATTTGAAGCAGTGGTTTAAAATTGATTTCGCCCGCATGTTTGATATCAATAGCTCAACCGCTTAACTTATCAGCAGAGCTTGCAAGGTTCGGTCAACCTTTTCAAAGTGTTAGGAAAAAACCTGTCACAAAAAACCCTATGACAACTGGGTGTGAGCTAACCCCTTAAAAGGGTTTTTGCTTAACAGATGTTACGCTCAGAGCAAAACCCTTTTTTCAGAGTTATTTCGGTTTCGGTTTCTACTGACTACTT